CAGTACGAGACTAAAACTCGGCCACAAGACGATCCTTCTTGCACGTGGGATCAGCCACACAAATGGCTCAAAATGGGACACCTACATCAAATTTAACAGGACCGCATTACTGAGCTGCATAAGGTCTGTGAAACGTGAGGTGGAAGCCACAGGATTTACTGTGGGGTTTTAAGATACATTCAGCATATACCTCTGTATAGGCAATTCTTTTTGAAATACATATGCATGAGTAACAGCAACATAACAAATTAAATTACTCATTGGAGAAGTCTACTGCTGAAGAAGAAAAGTAGGAAATTTAATCCGATACAGTGGATATATGGTGATACTGCCTCGTATTTCTTGTCTTCAGCAGGAATAGACTAGAGCAGACAACTGAAACAGCTTAAAGCCATCCAGATGCAATGATGCAGACTAGCTCAGAGTGACAAAAGAATCTTTACCCTGAGTGTTTGGGTAAGAATCACTGAGCTGTAAGAAAATCAAGCTAAGGTTCAAAGCTATTCTTATTCAGCTGTGGTAGATGCTACAGAATTTTCTTCTGCAAGTTAAAAAGTAGCATGAGTTTGGGAAACTAAAGTATCAGGCCACATTTCTTCATCCAAAGTTGAAGTCTGGAATGCTGTAACTACTCCCTATTTTGTCCAGGCACATGGCTACTTAAACACCTGACAAGTTGAAGTATTTGACACCTTCTTTTTTCTACTACAAATAGCTTGATTTTTTTTCCCTACTTGTAATAATGAAGCCAGGATTTCACCACTGAAGAATGAAATAATTTGAAAAACACCACGCTCTCATTTAACATTCCTGATACAATGCAGAAATCACCACCCAAGCTAACCCTGTGTTCTGCTAGATAGCGCTGGTACCGTTTTTGCCAGAGCTGTCAGGTGGTACGAATGAGCCAAGTCACTGCACTGCCGTGAAAGCAGCTTTCAGGCTGGCTTCGCACAGTCTCAAAGGCCTTGCTTTCGGAGAAGCATGGACACCAGGCAGCTACAGAAGATAAGTTCATGCATTCCTCATTCCTTCAAATCTACCGCTCTTTGAATTTCAAATTTTGGTAGGTATTACATTCCAATGAAGACGTATCGAGATCATCATCATAACTGTCCACTTCATTGTAACAGTTTGACTTGACCATGGAATTTTAAATTTTTCACAATAAATCTCCAGGTAAGATGGAAATTTGCCCTAATTTTTGGTTTCTTTCCCTTTATTAACAGGCAAAATTTTTGGACAAAGTAGGTATCACGTTAGAGGTCTATATCCTCAGGGGTGCAATGGACGCAGTACCACCATTAAAAGATAAACATCTTTTAATCAGGGACTTAAGGTTTGAAAAGGTTGAAGTAAGACTTTACCAGCCAAAAATACCAACAACTGGCCAAAGAAGAGGAATAGTTTATCTTCATGGAGGAGCTGGACGGTTTGGAAGCATTCGTAAGTAATGTATATAATATGAGCTATAACTACAAATACTATGTAGTTTCTGATTTGACATGGTATTTCTTAAATTACAGGAAGAGATAGTAAGTTAAGCATTATAAATAACAAAATTAATTTCAGGACAGCAGAATAATTTTATTTACATGCAGTAGGCATCACGTTAAATTGTCTTTATACAGGTCATGTATCTAGAACTTCTATTCTCTGATGATTTATCACTTGTTTTCTTCCTCCTTGTCCCACATGCTTACAAGAAAAGTTGAAAATCTCATTATAATTTTATTTCTTATTGTAAAGAACCCAATTTGTGTTCACATGTGTGTGCAAGCTTGTGTGTACGGGTAGATATTGCTGTGTGTCTTTATAGTGTCAAAACAAGTAAAAAATACATTTTGGCATTTGAAATGGAAAGGCGTGAGAGATTAGTTGGTAGCTCATGCACAAGAAAAATTATGGTGCTAGATTTAGCAGGGGTTTTGGGTTTGTTTGATTGGGTTTTTTTTAAATAACTTCTCATCTTCAATACCACTTTAGAAGTGGCAGCACTGGTTCTTTCGACTAACTAACTTTCCAAAAAGGAGACTGAAACAATGCATTGGTGTAAATCCCAGGTTTCTTACTGGCAGGAAGATTCCCATAGATGCAATGGAATTGTGAACAAGGTCCCAATTAGAGCATGGCACCGTAAGAGAACTGTCCTGTCTCATCACAGGACAGAGATAAGAATTTCTGAATATTTTAATTCAACTGATTTTTAAAGCAAGTTACAATTCCATTGAAATATTTTGTTTTACAGGGGCCTATGAAAGAACATGCAGCTATTTCGCTAGAAAAACCAATTCAGTGGTTGTGTCTGTTGGGTAAGTGGAATCAATCCAGACACACGACAATGCGTAGTCACCACAAACCAAGTTCCTTGTCAAGTGCATACACTAGTTATATTTAAAGATCACACCAGCACTAATTACACTTAGTTAACCAATCCCCACTTGCTTATTTCCAAAGAAAATACATCATAATAATTTAATAATTTGTATCCACCACGAAGAGGTGAGGATGTTTTTGTTTCCTAAAGCTGTATCCAAACCACCTGAAGTTGAAAGCCAACACTGTGTTTGAAGTGCAACTGTTTCTGTTGAAAGGATAGTTGCCCAGACCACTAAATGCTCAGTTGAGTAGTAGTTCTGAAAAACTGTGGGGGGGAATATCCACATTTAACTTGCAGTCAACCTGAGATGAACATTTAAAATATTTTTCTGATGAGCTCTAATGCATTTTTAAAAGAGACAATTTTTTAAAGTTCAGGAAAAGAGCTGGTCTCTTGGAAACTGATTAAAATTGCACTAGTTACTATTTACACCCTAAATTCTTGAAGAACCATTACTCTTATTGATCGTGTTTATAAAGAATTCAGCTTATAGAAAACTGGAAACCTTTTACATTTTCATTATCAATTTTCTACACTCATATTCTCTAATAATTTGTTGGGAAACGTTCACTCCAATTTCTAACTAGAATTGCTGATAACGGATTTATCCTTGCCTTGACACCTAACTCTACAATAACTCAGCATGTGCCTTCAGTCACCAAAAAGACAGGTAAAAAGTATTTTGCAAAGATAGAATAGTGTACTGACTCCCCCCAAACATTAACAATAGCAAATAGCAAATAATACACCAAAAGCAATCATTACCATCAATTCTACTGCTGTAATTATAATCTCAGAATATTTTCCTATTTTCCGAATGAAATAGAGGACTGAAAAGATGACAACGGGATCATTCACTAGGTATGACTATGTTAAAACACCTTCACTCCTATTCAGGTATCGCTTAGCTCCTGAGCATCCATATCCAGCCCAGTTTGAGGATTGTCTTGCTGCCACCGCACACTTTATGAGGACTGCACAAGAGTACGGAGTAGACCCTTCTCGCATTATCGTCTGTGGAGACAGTTGTGGAGGCACACTCGCTGCTGCTGTTGCCCAAGCACTGGTGAACAGAAGAGACCTCCCCAAGCTGAGAGCACAAATGCTAATCTATCCTTTTCTCCAGAGTGTGGACTTCAATTTGCCTTCTTATCAGCAGAATGAGAAAGTCCCCATTTTGTTAAGGGAACGAACCCTTGAGCTTAGTTTGAAGTATCTTAATAAAGACTTGTCACTCACAAAAGCAATAATTAAAGGCTGTCATATTCCAGAAGATTTGCAACTGAAGTATCAGAAATGGGTGAGTCCCGACTACATCCCTCATGAGTTTAAAACAAGAGGCTACAAACCAAGTACAAGACATCCATTCTCAAAGGAACTCTACGCACAGGTCAAGTCTATGTTTGACACCACTTTTTCACCACTGCTAGCTGAGGACAGTGTTATTGCTCGACTTCCTGAGACTTTCATTTTGACCTGTGAACTCGATGTGCTTAGAGATGACGGACTGCTGTACAAGAAGCGATTAGAGGATCATGGTATAAAAGTGACCTTGTGCAATCTGCAGGAGGGATTCCATGGAGTAGTATTCTTTGCTCTTTTAGGTCAGCAGATAGGATTCCGAGCTGGAAAGAAAGGCCTGGCAAAGATGGTAAATTTTCTAAGATTGATGTAAAATTCCACTCCTTGCTTTCCTTTCCTGATTCCTATTTCTCATTGCTTCCAAAGATGTTTAAAAAACACCTTCAATTTTCCTTTTCTTAAATAATCTTCTTAAATTTTTGCATCTGTCTTCTTTTTACCCAATAAATTGATTTGATGATGGCTTTTCCTCTATTTTCTCTTATGATAGGCAAAACCAGGTGAACTCACCTTTCTTTCCTCTACCACCTCTTCACACTTTTCTCCTGCACTCATAAAATGTCTGGTCCTGATGGCAAGCGTTTTGTAATGTTTGGCAGTTTGGCTCAATAAAGTTCAGGTAATATTCATACATAAACTGCTCTCTGAGGACAACTCGGGGCAGGTAACTGGGCAGGAATCTACAGGTTAAGTGTATAATGAGCACAGTCCATGACTTATCAAAGCCTCTATCTAGTGAAAGCTGAATTCGAGGCAAGCTTAAGAAGAACCGAATATAGCAGAAAAGATTTGAGCATAGACATAAAAGAATGAAGTGGAAGGAAAGGAGGTCAGGAGAAGGGTTAGGCTGGAACTACAGATGTTATAAAAAGTATTGGTTAAGGAATACAACATCTATTAAAAAAAGCATGCATACACATTTTATATATATATATATATGTTTGCCGACAACACCAAGCTGTGTGGCATGGTCCACACGCTGGAGGGAAGAGATGCCATCCAGAGGGACCTTGACAGCCTTGAGAGGTGGGCCCATGCGAACCTCGTGAAGTTCAACAAGGCCAAGTGCAAGGTCCTGCACGTGGGCCAGGGCAACCCCAGGCACAAACACAGGCTGGGCGGAGAATGGATCAAGAGCAGCCCTGAGGAGAAGGACTTGGGGGTGTTGGTACACAAGAAGATCAATGTGACCTGGCAATGACAAGGGATAATGGTTTTAAGCTGAAAGAGGGGAGATGGAGATGGGATCTGAGGAAGAAATGTTTTCCTGTGCGGGGGGGGAGGCAGTGGCCCAGGTTGCCCAGAGCAGCTGTGGATGCCCCATCCCTGGAGGGGTTCAAGGCCAGGCTGGATGAGGCTCTGGGCAACCTGGGCTGGTGGGAGGTGTCCCTGCCCATGGCAGGGGGTGGCACTGGGTGGGCTTTAAGGTCCCTTCCAACCCAAACCATCCTGGGATTCTGTGATTCTATGGAATATACAGTAATATCAGTTACTTTACAAAGAGCTTGTATTAACTGTCAGCCCGCACTGTCTGAAGCAGGAAGCACTTTCTCATAGAGGAGCAATGTAAAGTGGCAGTATATCACAAACAAAAGGGTTCAGGAACAGAACAGAACACTGTCAGGATCTGAAAATTAGTGAAATGCTGGAAAGCTCAGTACAGCTGGAAGGTCTTGACACTATTTGAACAGCTCTGTGTTACAGGAAGCTGTTAAATTAAGAAAGGGAAAACAAATTGCTGTGCATCATTCTGATCACCAGAT